GGTTCACGGACGCTGAGGCTTGGCACATCGTGGGGTCCTTGCCATGGCGGGGCCCAGCGAACATCCCGCGTCTTGAGGGGCTGGCTCTCTCGAGCGCTCTGCGCCGCACTCTTCGGAATCGTCGAGCCTTTGGGCATTGCGTGCTCACCCTCGTCGACAACATGGGACTCGCCTTGGCGGTAGGCAAGGGCCGCTCGGCGGCCTTTCAGCCTCGGGATATTCTGCGCTAGCTAGCTGCTTTGATCCTCGGGCGCCGTCTTCGTATACATGTTCGCTGGGTCCCGTCCGAAAAGATACCGGCGGACAATCCGTCCCGAGGCTTGTCCTACATCAGGCGGCAGTAGGAGCTGGGCGGGGCCATCGGACACCGTGATGCTGATCGTGATGGTGAACCTGCTGAGCCTCTTCCAGCCGTCCCGCGGTTCCCAGCCCTGGGCGCGCTCAGCCCCTTACCAGATGCGTACCCTGGTGGCGATCCAGGGTCGCTGGCTGGCTGGGCTAGCAGCGCCGTCGGCGGCAGCGGCAGCGGCGCGGCGGACCCGGTGCCGCCGATCGTCGCAGACATCGGAGCCCCCCCAGGACTCGTCCCACATGACGTACCTCGAGAGCCGTTCGGTGGCGGACGCTACCCGCAAATACTACTTCAAGAAGATGAGGTCGTTTCTCGAGTGGGCCCTGGAGGCGGGCCTCGACTGGAACAATGTGAAGGACCTCGACAATGCGCTGGCACTCTATTTCGACAGGCTATTCTACCTGGGCATGGCAGGCGATGTGGCCAGCAAGACACTAGCTGCGGTGAAGTTCCACTACCCAGAGGTGGGCCGTTATGGAGATCAGAATTTGCCACGCTCGGTCCGAGCGCTCGCTGGGTGGGCGAAGGTCGTCCCGCGCAGGGCGCGCCTGCCCGTGCCGCACGTCCTGATGCTCGCCATCGTGGGCCACCTGCTGTCGCGCCGCCTGGTCGAGCAGGCGGTGGCCGTCCTGCTCTCCCTCAGCGCGTACCTGCGGCCCGGAGAGTGCGACTCGCTGACGGCGCTCCAGCTGGTGCCGCCTGTGGCCGCCGCGGGCCCGCAGGCCTTGTGCTGGGGCCTCCCACTGGGCCCAGTCGAGCTGGAGAGGCCCACCAAGGCCGGCGCCTGGGACGATAGCGTGGTGCTCGACGACCTCGACTTCCTGTGCCCTTGCCTGAGGAAGCTGAAGGAGAGATGCCGCTCACCAGATCAGCGGACCTGGTCCTTCGAGCCTGGCGACCTCACGGTCAGGATCCAGGGGGCGGCCGAGGCGCTCGGCGTGGCCGCGATGGGGATCACCGCCTACGGCTTGCGGCACGGCGGCGCCTCGCACGACCTGCTGGCAAGGCGTCGGGGCCCGCTGGAGGTCAAGGCGCGCGGCCGCTGGCGGAGCGACGCCATGATGAAGCGGTGCGGCAAGGAGGCCCGCGCGCTGGCGGAGCTGCACGGAGTGCCGCAGGCCGTGCTGGACTTCGGCAGCGCCGCGCAGAGCAACCTGGCCAGCATCGTGCTGGAAGACGCGGCGCTGCCGCCGGCGCCATTCCTGGCTCGCCTGCGCTGACGGATCATCAGGTCAGGCTTCGCCTTCGCCGCATTTTGCGGCGTGCCTTAGGTTCAGCAAGTAGTCGCCACAGCCAGGTTTTCTTGGAGCTTTTTGCAGGAACAGCAGGCATGTCCAGGGCCATGCGTGCCCAGGGTCTTGCCACGACTTCGGTCGATATTTTGAAACAGCCCTGGTTCGATTTGAACCGCCGCGTCGTTCAGACGACGCTCCTGGGGTGGATTTTGAGCAATGTGGTTTCAGCTGTGAGGATGGGGACCCCTTGCTGCACTGGTCCCAAGCCCGCCACGGGCCACCCGGCTCCAGTTGGTGCCGGCTGCGTAGTGCCGAGCATGTTTGGGGCCTCCCTAATCTGGGCTCCAGGGCCTCCGAACCGTGTAAGAGAGGGAACGACCAGTTACGTTTTTGTCTTCGGGTGGCTCGAGGCTGCCTCCGTGTTGGCACTCCCGTGGCGCTCGAGAATCATGGATCCGGTTGGTTGTGGGGGGCCCCCCCGCTCGATCGCCTGGCCCGTCACCCGACGAGCCAGGCCTGCACCGTAGACTACTGTGGCTTCGGGGCTCGGTGGCGCAAGAGGACCAGGGTGCAAATCTGGGCTCCCAGCTTTTCCATCCAGCTTCCCGATTTTTTTCATGGTCGAAGTGGTGTATGCAGTCACTCGTGCAAGCCTCACATTGTTCTAACGGGCGTTGATCAGAGCTCGGGCCAACTTTGGACCCGCGCTGCTGAGCCTTATCCCCCCGTTTCTGTTCGTGTTTTACCCGGGCTCTGAAACGTAGTATCGGCTCAAATCCTTTAGTCCGTCTCCGACAGATTATATCATAATGCGGCACATGCCAGAATCCCTTCGGGGTGTCTAGGGGTCTTCTCTCTCTCTCTCTCCTCCTCGTTTGTGTTGTGTTGTGTTGTGGTTTGTGGTGCCGTGGTGTGTCTGTGTCGTCCGCTCGTCCCTCCTTTCTCGTTCGTTTCATGCCGAGCTTTGCCCGAGTGCCAACCTGTCCTGCTGGACCTGCCTGGCCCGAAGCACACAAAAGGTCTCCTGGCCAGGGTTAGCGTCACGATGGGAGGTTCTCGAACAGTAATCGTAGAGCGACGGAGGGCCGTGCGGTCTGCAACCGCCACGGCTCAAGCCTTTTCTGTGCCCGCCCGCTGCCTCCCTTTTTCTTCTTGTTCTTTTGGTCTTCTCTCTCTCTCTCTCCTCCTCGTTCGTTTGTGCTGTGTTGTGTTGTGGTTTGCCGTACCGTGGTGTGTCTGTGTCGTCCGCTTGTCCCTCCTCTCTCGTTCGTTTCATGCCGAGCTCTGCCCGAGTGCCAACCTGTCCTGCTGGACCTGCCTGGCCCGAGACACACAAAAGGTCTCCTGGCCAGGGTTAGCGTCACGATGATGATGATGATGCTGCTGATGATGATGGTGATGATGATGATGATGATGGTGGTGCTATTCATGATGATGATGACGATGATGATGATGACGATGATGATGATGATGATGATGCTATGATGATGATGATGATGATGATGATGATGATGATGATGATGATGATGATGCTGATGATGATGATGATGATGATGATGATGATGATGATGATGATGATGATGATGATGATGATGATGGCGGAACAATTCTGAGGATGTCTCGAGCGGGGCGTGGGGCTCAGCATCCCCAAGGGGGAGCCACCAGGGGGTATCGCACTCCTCCGTTCGCGCCAAAATTGCGGGGATGTCTCGAGCGTGGTGTCTGTTTTTATGCCCAACATCCTCCACTTTCGGAGCAGATTCTGAGGATGTTCCGAGCGAGGCGCTCATTTTCGCCCCCGAAGAGGAGCCGCCAGGGGGTATCTCATTCCTCCGTTCACGCTAAAATGGCGGTGATGTCTCGAGCGGGGTGCTTGTTTTGGTACCCAACATCCTCGGCTTCCGGAGCAGATTTGGAGGATGTCTCGAGCGATGCGCCCACTTTCACCTCCAGAGAGGGCCAGATTTTGAGGGTGTCTCGAGCGGTTTGTATATTTTGCTGGTCAGGCCCGTAGGCACGGATTGTCTTCAGGACGCCACCGGAGACTCCAGGAGGCTCCAGGAGGCCACGGGAGGTACCAGGAGGTATCAGGATGCCACAGGCGAGAATTTTTTTTCCCGGGAATTTGGACGTCATCAGTGGAGAAAGGAGAATAGCATTCATATTGTGTAATTGTGGTTGTGGAGGAGGAGGGGGAGGAGGAGGAGGAGGAGGAGGAGGAGGAGGAGGAGGAGG